CCGCCCAGCTTTTCAGGGGAAGCGGCTGCGGCTTCCTGGTCATCGAGACGCGGATCCGTAGGTGGGGGTATCGCCCAGGCCCTGAGACCTTGCCTGCTCAGACTTCCTGTGGGGAAGGAGAGCTTGCCCCGCCGTGCGCGAGGGTCATCCCGGGAACCCTAACTGTTGAGCTAAAATGTTTCCCGAACTCGGGAAGGGAAGTCAGCTGCGCGCGGAGCCTCTGACCCGGGCGACCAGTGAAGCCGCCTCGGGTACTCGGCGGGACGTTGTCCGCCGGGATGGACCTGCGCCGATTCCCACGTCTCCTATAACGTCAACGAAACTGGTCCCTGCGCTCGGCCGCACCGGCGCCTCCGAGGGCTGGGACAGTGCGAACTGCGAAGCTGGGCGGAGCTCAGCGCTACCCACCGGCCGCGCAGGGTTCTGCCTCTCACAGCTGCTGCACTGGGCACTTCACACCTGAGCACCTGCGGCTCCAGGAGAGAAAGGAGCTGGGCTGGAGTTCAGCGGTAGAGCGTTGTTCCAGTACCGAAAGACCCAGCATGTTGTCCCTAGCACCATTAATTGAGTAAAGGGGGTGTTGGCCAGTGCCACATACTTGATACTGAATGCTCTAAAACATGGATCTTAAAAATACTTTATAACACACCAACACAATACAGGCGATAATAGAAATATATACAAGACGCCCTAAAACATCTATCATAAAAAGCCTTTTGTGCCGCGCGTGGTGGTGCCTGTAATCCTAGCACTTGGGAGGCTGAGGCAGGAGGATCGCCTTGAGTTCAGGCCAGCCTGGAGCAAGACCGTGTCTCAAAAAACAAAAAAACAAAACAGCCCTGGCGTGGTGGCGCACACCTGTAATTCCAGCACTCGGGAGGCTGAGGCAGGAGGATCGCTGAGTTCGAGACCAGCCTGGGCTACATAGTGAGTTCCAGATCAGTCTCAAGTACATAGTGAGACCCTGTCTCAAAAAACAACAGAACAAAACTTCATGATGCATAGCGTGTGTTATATATAGTATACTGCAGAATATATAAAATCCGTTATACCACAACACAAAACAGGCAGTCATACAGATATTACAAAGATGCTCTAAAACATCAATCATAAAAATGCTTCGTGATACATTTTATATACATAGTACATCAAATGCAAAATATGACAACAGGATACAGGCAGTAGTAGAGATAACTACAAGGATACCCTAAAACTTCCATCATAACAAAACAGGAAATAGTACAAATTTCTGCAAAGATGCCCTAAAACAATAATAAAAATGCATCATGGGCCAGGGATTTAGCTCAGTGGTGCTGCTGCCTGCCTCAAAAGTACAAGGACCCGAGTTTGATCCCCAGTACCCCGAAAAAAAAACCTTCATGATATTATATAAAATGCAGTACGCTATAACACAATACAGGCAATAATACAAATATCTACAAGAATACCCTAAAATGTAAGTAATAAAAATGCTTGTGAGCCAGATAATCCCAGGACTCAGGAGGCTGAAGCAGGAGGATCACTGACAGAGCAGCCTGGGCTACGTAGTGAAAACCTTTTGAAAAAAAAAAAAACTTTGTGAGACATCACATATTATGTACCACATGGTATATAAAATTATAAAATGCTGGGCCAGGTATTTAGCTCAGTGCTTCCATCACCTGCCTTGAAAGTGCAAGGTTCCAAGTTCCATCCCCAGTACGAAAGAAAAAATTATAAAAAGCTTTATGCTGACGGTTCAGGCAATAACTGAAATATTTACGAGGGCCAAGCAGAGAGAGGGGGCGCACCTCTTACCTAGAAGTGTGCTGTGTGAGCTGGGTGGCTTGGGGTTCAACAGAAGAGAGAAGGTGGCCTAGCAGCTAGAGTCCCACATTAGAGGTCGTTAATAATGTGGGGAGCCTAAAGTGAAAGAGAATACATGCCAAGTTATTAGACAAATGAGTCAGGCTCACTTGATGAGGGCAATGCCATTCTCACAATAGACTTTAATTGTTTTTTTTTTTTTTTTTGGTACCGGGGATTGAACTTGGGTCCTTGCCCTTGTGAGGCAAGCTGAGGAACTACTGAGCTAAATCCCTGGCCCTAGACTTTAATCTGTGCACATTAAACGGGAGACCCAGACAAGTGTTCTGAAGGAAGAAGAGCCATAAGAAGGCTTCCTCTTTAGGTACCTTGAAGGGCTGGTCAGAGTAGAATCTGTTCAAATGAGTCTCTGATTTATTATTCATAAACCTAACTTTTTTTAAATTGGGTTTATTGGTACATTCTAGGTAGATAGTACAGTTACATTCATTACTGGGATCTTGTACCTTTACATGCCAGGTCTTGGTTCTCATTTTTTCCCCTTGTCCCTGCCCTCCCTTCACCCCCTCCTCCCCTCCCCACCTTCAAACACTTTAATTCCATTTTTACATTTTCTCATATTTTTGTCCTTTTCCCTTGTTACCCTTTCCCTATCCTTCTCTCATAAACCTAACTTTAACACACAAATTACCTTTGGAAAAAATATTAAAAGTAAAAATTTAGCATTTCTGTAATCCCAGTACTCTGGGAGGCTGAGACAGGATGATCGTAAGTCTAGGCTACATTGGGCTGTTTTGAAGGTTGGTTTTTGGCTTTTTGTTCTGTTTGGTTTTCATAGGGTTTTTGTTTTGGTTTGGTTTGGTTTGGTTGTTTATTTTTTGAGACAGGGTCTTGCTCTGTAATTCATGCTGATATGGAACTCACTGTGTAGCCCAGGCTGGCCTTGAGCTTATGGCAATCCTTCTGCCTTAGCCTCCCTAGTGCTGGGGTTACAGGCATGTGCTACCACACCAGCCTGTCTTGAGATTTAAAAAGAACAAAAGAACTGGGCTTGTAGCTCAATGTCAAAGCCATGGGTTCAAACCCCAGTGCCACAAGAAAGGAAAAAAGAAAAAGTGAAAATTAACATAAATTTGCCTGTACTGAGGATTAAACCTGTGCTTATAAATACAAACTTCCCTATAATGAATATGATCAATATGTGTGACAAAATCTACTAATAAACCCAGTTCCTTCCTATTGAGACACACCCGAGCCCTTTTCATTTGTATTATTAAATTTCTTTTGGTTTTCTTATATTCCAGGCTGGCCCCGAACTTGCAGTGATTCTCCTGCCTCAGCCTCCTGAGTGCTGGGTTATAGGCATGTGCCACCATCCCTGACTTATTTTTTGATACAAGGTCTGGGCTAGAATTTGAGTATCTGGAATGACAGGTATATACCCCTTCTCCTGGCCATTAAAGGATATTAAGCAGGAGAGTACAATGAAATGATCTGCGGTTTTGTTGTTTCTGTTGAGATAGTGTCTTGCTGTGAAGTCCATCCAGGCTGGCTTGGAATTCCTAACCTTCCTGCCTTGGAGCCCACCAAATGCTGGGATTACAGGGTCAAAAGTGCAAAAGTGCACACCAGGCCTGGCTCTTCTGTTTGGTTGTTATTGTTATTTGCTTTTTGAGGCAGGGTCTTGCAGTTTAGCTCAGGCTGGCCCTGAACTCACTGTGTAGCCCAGGCTGGCCTTAAACTCAAGGCTATCATCCTGCGTCAGCCTCCAGAGTGCTGAGATCACAGACCTGCACCACCATGCCTGGCCTTATGACTTTTCTTTGTTTGGTATCAGTGATCGAACTCAGGACCTTGCTCTTGCTTGCAGGGCAGGCGTGGCACCACTCAGCTAAATTCCCAGCCCCTTATGACTTCTTTTTTAGTCTATTTTGTGAGTAGTATCGCAGTGCTTCTGAATGTTTGAGTCTCCTATTCACGGCCAAACCCTCATAACCAGATTCTCAGCAACATTCTTTTCCCTCATATTTTGGGACCTGTCTTAAATTCAGGTTAGGTTATGGTGCTGTATTAAGAAAACCAGTAGGA